CTGCTCAGGTGTGCGAGCGGCGGGAGTCTGATTGCCTCCCCCGGCCTGAGAAGTAGCTGCGGTTGTAGTGGCTGAAACCACCTGAGCTAGGCTAGTGCAAACTGATAAGATCTGAGCCAAGGCCTCCTAAAGACCCGGAATCACAATGGGCATAGCTGGTGCCTGAGCTGGTGCTGCAGGATTGTCCATAACTGGGACCTAATCCTGAACTGGGACAGTTGGTGGATCTATAGGGGCTGCCCTCGCTGCTCTGCCTCTACCACGACCACGATCGCGTCCTCGGCCTCTGGTGGCCACAGCTGGTGGCACTGGTGGTTGTCCATCCTATCCAGTAGCATATGTCCTCACCATCTGTGAGAGAATAGAATAATAGGAGTTTAGTACTCGGATCAACAAGTTCGCACGACAAGAATTTCAAGAATATGAAGTTTTTCCTAAAGGTTCTGCAGCCTCTCGAGGATAAATACAGACGTCTCTGTACCGATCCGTGAGACTCTACTAAACCTACTCATGACTCGTGAGACTTATGTAACCTAGGCTCTAATACCAACTTGTCACGACCCTAACCCGGACCTGGTCGTGATAGCGCCGCTCGTGAAGACAAGGCCAGCTGACACTCCCCATTTTCCAATTTTTGATAGTTAAGCATTTAAGAAACGGTCTAAACATGATAAAATAAATCCGAAATAACCATGATAACATAGATACACGGAAGAACACCATACATAGCCCTAATCGGGGTGTCACTAGGCATGAGCATCTATAAGTCATAATACAAATCCGCTAAGTCAATAAACTAGTACAACTATCTGAAAATATATAGAAGTGATAAAGGAGTAGAGACACGGGGCTGAGGACGTCAAACAGCTACCTCGTGAACTTCAGATGTCTGCCGAGAGCTCTCAACTCACACTGGCAGGATTAGCAACGCCTGAATCTGCACACAGGGGTGCAGGGAGTAAAGTGAGTACTCCAACTCAGTGAGTAACAAATGTAAATAAAAACTGAAAGCAAGAAATCACTTAAGGCATAAAGCATTCTATAATGAAGCAGTAAAACCATTTAAAATCAGTAAATCAGTGAAAGATAGGTAAACTCCTTTAACTCAAATGTAGTTTCATGAAAAAGCCTTTTTCAATAATTAAGCAGGTAATTGACAGTCAATTATGAAAAGTAACCACATAAAGGCTCGCCCCTCGGGCACAGTGTCAACAAATCAGCCCCTCGGCAACATCTCAGAATAGTACCAGCCCCTCGGGCAATCACATAGAACGATACCAGCCCCTCAGGCTCTATCTCACATCACAATGGGTACCCGCGCTCAATAGGGGTGTGCAGACTCCTAGAGGGGCCCCTTACGGCCCAACCGCAATATCAAGCCACCTCGTGGCATCATCACTATGCCCTCGACCTCATATCAATCAAGCCACCTTGTGGAGTACATATCTCAGGCCCTCGGCCTTATAATCAGTATCAAATGTTTCCTCATAATATAGGCCCTCGACCTCACTCAGTCAAAAATCCTCACAAGCCACTCGGGCAATAGTAAAATAGTGTTTCTCAGCCCAAACATCATTTAAAAATATATTTTAAGTATTAAAACTGAGTAAACATGGCTGAGTACGAAAACAGTGGAAAATAACATGACTGAGTTCAAGTATAAAGTCAAAATAATGAGGAAATACCAGTAAAAATTCCCAAAGGGTTCAAATAGTTGGTACTAGGCTCAAATATGGCATTCATCCCAAATAAAGATGATAGTAAATAGTTTTCAATCAAATACGCGGTAAAATCATCAATCGGGACGGACCAAGTCACAATCCTTAATAGTACACGACCCCACGCTCGTGCCTCACCTCAATATAGCACTACGATGTGCAATCCGGGGTTTCAAACCCTTAAAACATCATTTACAATTATTACTCACCTCGAACCGGTCAAAGCTCTAGCTCGCGATACATTTGCCCCTCGAATCGGCCTCCATGCATGTCAAATCTATCCAAAATCAGTACGAACACGTCAAAATATGCTAAGGGAACGAAGCCCAAGTGAAAACAATCAATAAAGGGCACAAATCCCGAAATTACCAAAATCCGACCCCCCGGCTCACGTCTCAGAATTTGATAATTTTTACATCAATAGATTCCTTATCTCCCCACGAGTGTATGCATATCAAAAATACTAAAATCGGAGTCCAAATCACCCCTCAAATCCTCATTTAAAGGCTTCTTAAACTCAAGCCATAATCCCTCATTTTTAGCCCTTTAATTCCTTTTGTTATAGCCTTAGTCCATGAAATACTACCATAGAAATGTGTTTTAGGTCCAAAATCCTTACCTTAACAAAGTATCCTTGATTTCTCTCTTCAAAATCGCCCAAAGCTCCCGAATCCATGTTTAAAAATGGTGAAAACCTTCAAAAATCGCAAAGGAAGACTTATATACATTCTGCCCAAGGACACCCGCATCTGCGGTACCGCATTTGCGGTTAAATCCTCCACTTCTGCGGAAATCACTAATCCAGCCTAAACCGCATTTGCGACCATATTATTGCATCTGCGACCGCTTCTGTGGTCTCAGCTCACCTGACCAATTTTCTCTTCTACGACCACCTCTCCGCTTATGCGGCGCCGCACTTGCAGTCCCCAATCCGCAGGTGCAAAAATACCAGAAGCAGCAAATTCAACTGCTGCAACAAAATTCCAACTTCTCCGTTAACCATCCGAAATCACCCCGAGACCCTCGGGACCTCAACCAAAAGCACAAACATAACCCAATACCTTATTCAAACTTGTTCCAATCACCAAAATACCTCAAACAACATTAAATCACCCAAAACACCTCGGATTCAAGCCAAATTTCCTAAAATTTTCCAAATTACGCTTTCGATCGAAAACCCAACCAACCACGTCCGAATGACCTGAAATTTTGCACACACATCCCAAATCACACAACGGAACTACTGCATCTCTCGCAATCCCATTCCGACCCCTATATCAAAATCTCGCCTACCAACCGGAAATCGTCAAAATATCAACTTCGCCAATTCAAGCCTAAATCTACTATGAACCTCCAAAATTCATTCCGATCACGCCCCTAAGTCATAAATCACCTCCCAAAGATAACCGAACCATCGGAACTCACATTCGATCCCTCTAATACATAAGTCAACATCCGGTTGACTTTTCCGACTTAAGCTCCCTTAAAAGAGACTAAGTGTCTCAACCCTTACCAAATCCTTTTCGAACTCAATCCAACCAACCCAATATCACAAAACACAGATATACAAAGCATAAAGAAACAGAAATGGGGGAAATGGAGCGGTAACTCATGAGACGACTGGTCGGGTCATCACAGAATCTAACTTTGAATTTGTAGAAAAAATGAGGCAGCTTATATCTAGTGTAACCGCACCTGCGAGGTTGTGGCCGCAGGTGCGGAGCTATAGAAGCAGAGTGGGAGTCGTAGGAGCGGAATTGGGCAGCCAAGGGAAGGATCGCAGATGCGGGGTATTGGCCGCATTTGCGCAAGCGCAGAAGCGAGAGAGCTGATCGCAGAAGCGGAAGAAGACCGCAGAAGTGGTAGTGGGGGCCACACCTGCGGGATAGCAGAATCGGTCAAGTGACTACATGTGCGAAAATGCTAGAGGTAGTGAGTTCTTTAAAAATCGGGATTTGGCCCATTATCCTTCATTTTGTTTCTTGGTTGGGCGATTTTGGAGCCTTTGAAGAGGGGGATTTCATCATCAAGCATGAGGTAAGTTACTTCCACCCCTTGTGATTTAAATACTTAATATTATTACGGATTAAAGTATGAAAATTAGTAGAAACATGGGGTTTTGGTGGAAAGACCTAGAATTTGTATTTTTGGATTTTGACCACGATTTTGGGTATGAAATTGAGAGTAAATTATATATTTGAATTCGTGAGGTTGTGGGTAAAGTTTATCTTCAAAAAAATTCGGAATTCGGGCACGTGTGCCGGGGGTGATTTCGTCAACTTTTCTAGCGGAGTTGAGATTTTATATAAATTGAATTGTCATAATTATTAGGGTGTATTTTCATTGGTTTGCCCGTTATTTGGCTAATTTTGGAGCGTTGGGCATCGATTTGAGTAGTCAGAAGGGCTTGGAAGCCGATTATTGAACTTCGGAGTAAGGTGAGTCTCCTTTCTAACCTTGTAAGAGGGAACTGTTCTCATATGTGAAATAATTGGTTATGTGCTTCTATTTGTAGGGGCTACGTACGCACTAGGTGACGAGAGTCCATGCGTAGTTACTATTATGTTTAAGTCCGGGTAGTCTAGGATCCAAAAACATGCTATACTTGGAATATTTGTAATCTTATTGACATTTTGAATTGCTTAAAGCATATCAAATTAGTAAATGAATTTCCAAAACGATTAAACTTCACTTTCTTTATCATTAAAAGAGAATCAGCTTTTCCTTGGATAAATGTTCCTTGATAAATTCCTAATTGGTTGTTTGAATATGTGTATCTATGTGTGTCCGCGTTGCATGTATGATTCGCGAGCAGGGTGCTTGTTTATTTATGTTGACCGCGTCGCATGTATGATTCGCGATCGAGATAATAGATACATCTATGGTTCGCGCCATTAGACCCTCTGGCAGTACACAGTTTAAATATTGTTGGATCGGATCGTACGTCCTCGACATGTTTTACGCATGCTTGTAATGCTTGCTTGAGATTTATAAATGTTGATATTTGCTCTCCCTGGCTTGAGATAAATGTATAAATGATGAAAAATGAATTTAGGAATTCCTATTAATGAAAGAATTGCTTACTTGCTTCATGCTATTGAGTTACAACCATCTTTATGAAAATTCATGATTTACTATATTATTGGAATATTATTATTGGACCACTAGTAAGTGTCGAAGTCGACCTCTCGTCTCTACTTCTTCGAGATTAGACGGGATACTTAGTGGGTACACATTGTTTTCATACTCATACTACACTTGTTGTGTATTTTTGTTGCACAGGTTCATGTGTGGCTAGCGGCTTAGTAGAATAGCGGAATGGTTGATACGGGACTTAGGTGAGTTGCATCTTGCGAGACGATCCGCAGCCAGTAGAGTCTCCCTCAGAGTAATGTACTGTATTATCTCATTCTTGTCCAATTGTATTCCGGACAACTATTGTACTTTATTTCATTCCCTAGTCAATGCTCATACACTTGTGACACCGGGTTCTGGGATTATTATGGGGTATCTTGTATTAACTTCTTAACATTTATATTTAATTTGAAATGATTACCTTTTTCTAGTAAAAACTGAAGGAAAATTATAGTTTTCAAAATTATTAAAACGAGAATTTAATTAAGTATTTTGGTTGGCTTACCTGACAGCGGTGTCTGGCTCCATCGCGACCCTTAGTGGATTCTGGGTTGTGACACTTGAGAGGTCGTTCGAATTCCGAGTCCAGGCAAGGTCGAGTTCGAGCTCGAAGGACCAAACCCGAGCTCGAAGCAGAGCACGATACATACCAAGGTCGAGTATGCTCGACCCCGGAATAATACTGTTATGAATTTATATCGGAATAAGCTAGATTCTTGTCACGTCCCTTAGATCATGGCGCAAATCCCAGAATAAGATTGTACGATTCCGCACTAGGCAGTTAGACAGTTGTACCAGGAATATTCCTTATTTAGGGTTCACCTATTATATAAAGAGGACCGCAATCATTTGTAATATCATCTATTCATTGAGAAAAGAATATACTCTCTACCTTTTGTCTACTATTCATCAGAATTACCCTTTAGCTCTACTGTTCTTACTTTACTTTTCTTGCTTTATTGATCTTATTGACCTAAGCCACCTCGAGGTCACTACTGCTGAATAACATTGCTTTGATTCACTTCTATCTTTCATTTCTACTTCATATTTCTTGATTATTAATTGGTATTGAACTAAATCACATATCTTTAAAACCACTAATCAAATTAAAATGTTACTCGTATTTTTGAGGTAAACAACTAGAAAAGTTGTCTCTTGTGTGCCTTTCCTCATATCTAGTGCATTGTCAGAACTTATCATTCTCCCTTTTACATTGAACTGTCTCTCAACCATGGACAGAAAAGATTTAAGCGTAGGAAAAGTATTTCTCTTAGCACATAATAAGAATATTCATGTTCCTCTACTATAGTCATCTACTATAGTGAGAAAATATCTGAATCCATTATAGGTATTGGACTTATAAGGTCCCCATGTTTCTACATGTATGAGATCAAAAATATGTTTGGATTTAATGGTGCTGACAGGAAAATGATTCTTTGTCTGTTTAGCCTTAGGACAAACATCATAAATAAATTCAGAACTTGAGTCATAATGAAAGAAATCTAAATGTTTCATTGCTGAAAATGGAAGATGTCCCAACCTTACATGCCAAAGCTTAATATCAGGAGTAGCATTAACATGAACTGGACTAGAAAAAGACACAGACTCTCAAATGAAATTTCTTCCTTTTTGAAAAGATATATTAATACTGAATAGACCCTTAGACTTAAGACTACTTGGTTCCAACATGTAGAGTCCCTCTCTAAATTCACCAAAAGCTTGTGGACTCTTCATTGAAAGGCCCTGCAATGCACACCTAACATATGTGAATAGGACATCATATTTGAACTGAATATAAAACCTATGAACTGACAATAGATTGTATTTGAAATATGAAACATGTAGCACATTGTTCAAGACATGACTTGGCAGAATAGAAACACTTCCTATATGAGTAATAACCACTTTGAAAGAATTAGGTAAATTGATGTTCAAAGGTACATGAATGTGATTTAGAAACCAAAAAGAGTTGGGATCAAAACACATGTGCTATGAAGCACCTGAATCAATGATCCAGGTATCTGAATTTAGAGTAGTAAACACTGAAACTAAGTATTTTAGAATAGTACCAGCAACTGTATTAGCATTGATTCCTGAGTTTCCTGGCTGTGCCAACTTTGCCTGCTTATACATGCTCATCATTTCTACAACTTGTTCCTTATTGAGTTGCTGCCCATAGTTGATATTGTTGTGTTCAGTACTTTATCCTCCTGCATTCTCATGCTCTTTATGTGCTAAAACTGCATTACCCTTTATCTGAGTTTGATAACCTTTGAGATTGGTAAATTCAAAACTTTTTGGAAATCCAATGATTCTGTAGCAGTCTTCCTGTGTATGTCTTGTTTTTCCACAATAAGTACAAAATACATTTGGATTGTACTTCTTCTTTCCCTTAAATATCTGCTGAGATTTAGTAAATTTATGTCCTAAATTGTTATATTTAGGTGACATGATTTCTCCTTTTTGTGCTTGATTTCTGTTTTCTCAAAATTTCTCCCCTGTCCTGTGACCATAAAAGCTGCAAAATCAGCTAAAAGTTGGGCATTAGGCTGCTTGGCCTCTCCAGCTGCCATGAATGAAATTGAATCAGAGTTGAAATGTGCATTTTCATAAACCTCTCTTTGATTTTCATCTTGCAAAAGAAGTGAATAGGCAACATCCATTGTAGGCAAAGGGTTCATCATGAGTATATTTCCTTTTTGCTTGTGCATAAATGTCATTCAAACCCATTGAGAATTAAATCAACCTCTGGTCTTCAAGTGACTTAGTTAACTTTGCTTTTACTTCACAAATACATGAACAACATATGAGAATATTTAAAGTATCCAATTCATCCCACAGTCGTTTGAGTTTAAGTATCCTGTAGTGTCACTGGTACCCTATACTAATACTGATAGCTCTTTCTGCAGATGATAAAGCTTAGTATTATTTGATCTTCCAAATATCTACTCCAGACTATCCCAAAGCTCTTTTGCAGGTTTAGAGTATATTACACTGTCTACAATATCCTTAGAGAGAGCATTCAGAATCCAAGATATCACCATGTCATTGACACAACTCCATTGTTCATGATCCGAAGACTTCATATCTGGAGATTGACATGCTCCATTGATGAAATCAAGTTTCTTCTTCGCTGATAAAGACAATAGATTAGATCTCTTCCATCCTGGATATCCTCTTCTATCAAACATAGTGTTGACTAGAGTTATCCCAGGAGAATCAGAATTGTTAAGATGATAAAGAGGATTGACATCATAGTTGGCTGTCTATGCAAATTTACTGGTATCTCCAGTGATAGTTGTTTCAGGCATCTTAGTTTACTGATTATGAAAATGAATTTGATGTAAATGAACTAGATGATTGAAATGTTGGATCGAGCTTATTGCTCTGATACCATGTACAAAGTGAAGAATGAATTGAAAAATTTTCTCTATGTATTTCATCAATGTTACTATACATGTATATATACACTTATATCTAAAGAATAAAAAATGGCAGGAAAGAGAAATTATGTACACTTGTCTTATTCTAATTTGCCTACTAATAACAAATTTTTCTTTCTACTCAACTAACTATGTTCCCTCACATGTTAGTCACGTGAGGAAAGCTTCTAATATTGAGACTATCAAATGGTCTATAATTAATCTATCATGAATTGATTTTCTTGATCCAAAGGTTGTGGCTCTTCCACGTGTTCCAAACAATCCAATGAATTTAACCTATGTAACATAGGTTATATCGAAGATAGTCACTTTGGTCTAAGAACATATGAGTTTCTTCTAGGTCGTCTTCTTCTTCTTCATTCCTTCTTCTCTATCTATAGGCAAAGCTCCATGAAAATCAGAATTAAGATGGGGTTTCTTCTTTCCAACAATACTTCACAAAGAACCTTTCCTTTCTTTTATAGTATTCTCGTGATTTCTCTTCCACATTATTCAATGACGATAAAACATATGTCCTCCTTTAATATATTTCAGATGAGTTGCTATGATTTTATAATCGTCGAATCCATGATATAAAAGGGATTCTTTGAAAATCAACACGGGCTATGATGAAACTCTTCTACGCAAAGTTATTCTTCTATGGCAAAATCAAAATATATAACCACTGGTAGCTTTCTATTAACTATTGGACTGAAATTACACATTACTTTTAACCAAAGGTGATATGCGCATGACTGAATAATACATAAATCCAAATAAGGGAGTAACTCAGAAAACTAAATATTACTATATTTTCATAATTGCTCGACCGTACTATGTCAATGGTTTGGTTCAGCCAGTTATTTTATAAAATTGTACCATTTTAATTTTCCGGTCACTTTATTTTATAATGAAAATTAGACTTTTAAAAACATTCCAATTATTTCGTTTTCTCTTCAGTATTGATATGATTCGGTTAATTTCTGGTATTTTCTTTAGAAAGTTATGTAAGAAACATTAGTATAAGTTAGAACACGATAATACACATACTTGTAGAGGACTTTGGCAAAACTTTCTAGATATTTTTATAGTAATGTAAAAAATAAGAGAAATATAAATCACACGAACAAATATTAATCAAGTCGAGACTCAAATAGAGTATCTTAGAAGATTAAGTATCCAACAAGAGAAATATAAATTATACGAGAAGAATATACCCAATACCTTGTGGCTTGCTACTCAAGATGTTGTAACTAATTTAGTTTCAACAGAAATACCACAATAGATTTGGAAGTTGAAATATTGGGGGTTAATTACATGCTGGCTTGTAGCCGTTTCCTTAGTCTCAAGGTTTAATGTTTTATTATTTTTAAATTTAATATATAAAATATATATTTTTCGTATATAAATTTATTCGGTACAGTTTGAAATTTTTTTGATTTATTTTTATAAAATTAAAAACCTATCTTAATTATTCAATACAGTTACATATTCATATAAAAATCTATAATTTTTTATGATAAGAAATCTAATAATCGGTTCAGTATGGTAGGTTTCGATCGATTTAGTCAGTTATTAAAGATCCATTGGCACCCCTATATATAAGTAATATATTAATTTGGCAAGAATTAGTGTACCTGGGTTCAAATAGTTGTCGCTCTTTACTTCCCGAAACCTATCAAAATAATCTTCAACCTCAAGCAGTAAAACAAAGTCGTTATGGCTATGTTTCTAACATAGACAACTATGAATGGTATTCATTGACAGGAGTGACCGCTTTCTAGTCGTAGTTGGTACCGCCCCTGTTCACTTCAGCATGCAAGGAACACCTTCGGAAAGAATCAAAGTTTTTCTCCTCTGCCAAGTTATCAATGCTTTATTCAAGATCTTTAGCAGTCGATTGTTTATTCTCCCTCCCCAGTGGCTTTCGA